GTGTATGAAACACTCATGCAGGGCTTGGCATATATCAGGTGATCTTTCCTTGCTTCACTTCCAGCAGAGTCATGGCCAGCACATAGATTCTTCTGAGTCAAACTAGCTATTGGAAAAAGCAACATGACAAATGAATGCCCATTGATTTTGCATCACACAATTTTTATTGAAAATGTATGTATCTACCCCTGCTTTTGACAATACACCCTCAAGTCCAATAAAGGTCGTGAGAACAAACTTGGTTCCTATCAAATTAAAAGAAATACAGCCTCTAAAAAATCAATGCTGTTTCCGAGTGGATTTAAAAAAAAAATGCATGCATGGAGGGTTCCAATATTACAGTATAGCAGAGTAAAAACATAAACAGCATAAAATGTATCTCATGGGTTTTTTCTAATGCTATAAATACTATTTTCTTAATCAAACTGAAATTTAAAAAATTAAAATAAAAAGAACCCAGAAAGAGCACATATTTTATTTCTATTTAAGTTTAAAATAGACCTTTTGAGGAAGTATCAACTCTACTTCTCCTAATTAATCAGAGTTTGGTTGTGCTTGCCTGATGGGTTTACTTCTCTTTTACCTGGGCACCAAAAGCTGTTTCTTTTTAACTTGGCATCAAGAAAGATGTTGTTCTCAAACTTGGCTCTGAAACCAGTTCTTTCTAGGACACTGCATTATTTCCATAGCTGTTGTTATTGCTGAGAGTCAAACAGTCCCATTTCTTAAGAAACATCCCAGTGATACCCATTCGGATGAGGCAGATATTTATATGCAGTAGGTTTCCCCTCTTTCCCCAAGTTCCATTATAATGTCAGGGGTTATTTGTTCCCTTTTCAGGGAGAAACACTGGGCTCTTCTTAATTCTTCAGAAAGGTTTGGGCTTGTGAATTCCTCATCCTGTGTTAAATGAGCATGCTCGAACACCATATGTTTAGAATAAAATTCAAACTTAGTATTCTGTAATAACCTATATACATACATACATACATATATATATATATATATATATATATATGTATAACTGAATTACTTTGCTCTACACCTGAAACTAATACAACATTGTAAATCAACTATATCCCAATATAAAATGAAAATTAAACGTAAAATATTGAACAAATAAAAACCTCAAAATAAGCCCTCAAGGAGTTTTATCATCTTTCTTCTACCTCTTCTCTAGCCTCATCTTCAGCAACTCTTCTAGCGATCATCTTCATTCCAGCTTTACAGAATTATGAACTCAGAGCCTCTTTAGAAATTTTCCTTTTATATACTAAACCTCTCCTCACTTATCTGCTCAGCTAATTTTTACTCATCCTGTGGTATACATCTCAAAAATCTCCTATTCCAGGAAGTCTTCTATATTAGTTTCCTGTGACTGCTGTAGCAAATACCACAAAGTTGATGGCTTAAAGCAACACATTTATGCTTCTGGAGGCCTGACATCTTAAATCAATATCACTGAGCCCAAGTCCAGGTGTTAGCAAAGCCTCATTCTCCCCTGGGAGCTCTAGAGAAGAATCTGTTCCTTGTCTTTTTCAGCTTCTGGTGGCTGTCAGCATCCCTTGGCTTGTGATCAACATGGCTTCAATCTTTAAGGCCAGCATCTTCAACTGTCCTTCTCTGTCCCATCTTCACATTGCCTTTTCTTCTGTGTATCTTTGTGTCAAATCTCCCCCTCTACCTCTCTCTTATAAGGATACTTGTGATTATATTTAGGGCATACCTGGATAATAAAGAATAATCTCTCCATCTAAAAATCCTAACTTAATTACATCTGCAAAGCCCCTTTATCCAAATAAAGTAACATTTACATGTTCCAGTGATTAGGACCTGATAGGTGGGACATTATTCAGCATGACACATCATCCTTGTTCTTTTCTTCCAACTATAGCTCTGCTTTACAGGCTGGATTATGAACCCCTTATCTGAATATTGATTTAAAACCTTGTATTTAACTTTATCATGGTACGTATAATGATGATGATGGCAATTTTGATGTTGATAGATAAGATATATCAATTGCTTATAGTATACTGGGCACTACTGTAAGAATTTCACAGATATTATATCAATCGATTCATACAACAATTTTAAAATGTAGGTGCAATGCTTGTCCCCATTTTTCAGAAGATGTTACTCAGGTACCATGTCTAGCAAGTGGACTTTCTGAGATTTGAATCCAGGCTGTCCAATTCAGAGCCTGTGTAGTGTTGCACCATGAATATCGATTCACCTGCTGTCTCCCCAATTCACTGTAAGGTCGTGGAAGCCAGCCAATATCCTCAGTTTCTAGCATACAGCTGATGCTCAGTGATGTTTGGGAAATAAATTTATAGGCAGATTCTAAACTGGATCTTCCCTTAAATAGATATGGGGTCTCAGACATGTGTGTAAAACTTTCTGGACCTCAACTATTTAATCAAGATGTTGGACTTTGGATGACCACCATGATCCCTAATGTTTTATGAACAGATCATCTCAGACATCCATTTGAAGTCTAAAATCTATTGGATTAAGGTGACTGATTCACTTGGCCCATGTTGTTGAGAATACTCAGCTCAGGGCACTGTTAACGATTTATCACACTGGGGAAGATAACTTTTGAAGTAGAAGTCATTTTAGCATGTCCATGTTCCAAAAGCTTTGAAGGAATGCCAGAAGTATTAATAACATCTGTTTTCCCAAAATAGGCACATCACTTCTACTTCTGGTGGGAAAGACTAACCTTTTTGGATTCTCCCAAAAGACTGTGTTTTATTCACTATTGCCTGTCATTCCTGAAGCCTAATGACACAGAGTCATTCCACCTAGGTGACCTACCCACATAATAAATGAATATTAATATCTCAATCTTGGGTTGGAGGACCCAGGTCACACATCTATATAACATTCTGCCAATGGGTTAATGAATAGTGAATCAAATAAATTCAGAAATTAACCTCAGATATAAGAGCTGCATGCATGCACACATATTTAATGCTTTCTACACAAGTTACTCAATAAAGCATTTCTCGAATACTAGAATGTGAACCTTCTAGACACTTATAAATATTAATTGACAATAAAGGGAAATACTGAAAAAGTTATTAAGAGCACTGTATAGTGCTGACTTGGTCTTCGAGAGCCCTCAGAAACGCTCTTCAGTTGGAATAATAATCATGGAAACATGAACCAAATAAAAGACTTTAAGCTACACTCTGAATGACGTTGCATATGATTAACTTTCATTATCATTAATGTGTATTATGGTCATATCCCCAATGACATGTGGCTGGGAGAAGAGCTCCTTTAGTGGCAAAACTGTTATCTTATTGCTGTTGTTGCTATTTCAGTTTGGGTTCCTGGTACGAGGTGATGATTGCACAGCTTGAAAGCTGCTTCCTTTAGTGGAAACAGCATAGGCTTTGGAGCCAGACAAGTCTGGATTCAAATTCCAGACACTGCTGGTGAGTTGTGTGGCTATGGGCAGACTGCCTGACCTCTCTTCCTGAAAAATAAGGTTTAATGGAGAAAGAGGTAGAAAGATGAGTTGAGGGAGAGTCTATATGACCATTCCCACGCTGAGTTTCTCTGTCTCCTGAGGGAGAAATGCTTTGGCAAAACTCCCTTCTGAAACCCACACAGAAAGTCGCTTTCTATATGGATGCCTTAGGCTTTGGTTCCAAGTCTGTATCTGTACTTCCTAAATCTTATTTTTTGTTACATCTTTGTTGAGATAGAAACCATATACCAAAGTTTACTTTTTTATAGTGTACAATGAATGATTTTTAATATATTCACAAAGCTGTGCATTGATCACCACTAATTCCATCATATTTTCATTATCTCCCCAAAGAAACTCCATACCCCCTAGCAGTCACTCTCTATTCCTCCCTCCCTCATTCCCTGGCAACAACCAAGCTATTTTCCATCTCTATCAATTTGCTTCTCCTGGACATTTTATATAAATGGAGTTATACAATAAGTGGTCTTTTGCATCTGGCTTTTTAAAATTAGAATAATGTTTTCAAGGCTCATCCAGGTTGTACCATGTATTTTATGCTCAAATAATATTCTACAGTATGGATATATCATACATCAGTTAATGGACATTTGAGGAATTTCTACTGTTTGGCTATTATACATAATCTTGCTACGAACATTTCTGTACACATGCTTTTTACAGACATATACTTTCAATTATCCTGAATATACATAGGAGTGGAACTGCTGGGTCATAAGGTGTGATAGTAAGAAAAATTGTCCTACAAAATGTACATATTCTAATTCTTGGAACTTGTGAATAAGTTATGTTCCATGGCAAAGGGAATTTAAGTTTACGGATGGAATTAAGTTTGCTAATCTGCTGAGTTTAACATAAGGAGATTATCCTGATTAATAGAGGGGGACCAATGTCATTGCAAGGATCCTTAAAAGTGGAAGGGGGAGGCAAAGGCAGAATTTCTGAGGGAGATGTGACTATGGAAGGATGGTCAAAGTGATGCAGGTTTGCTGCATTTGAAGATGGAGGAAAGAGGCCACAATCCAAACCATGGAGGCCACCTCTAGAAGCATGAGAAAAGGAAATGGTTTCTCCTTTAGAGCCTCCAGAAGGAATACATCCCCACCGACACCTTGATTTTAACCTAGGGAGACTGTTGTCAGAGTGTCAACATCTCGAACCTTACGATAATAAATGTGCGCTGTCTTAGATGACTGAGTTTTACATATTTTGAACACCAACTCATATTAACACCAACTGGTAGTGCCACTGGGACAGCTGTGATGTCAAATGATTGTGGCTTTGAGTCAGGTCAATAAACGATGAGTTCTGAGAATGGAGATCTTCAGTGAGCTTTCAGAAAGATCAAATAATGCAATTATCCAGGGAAGGGCTTTTAGGATGGTCCAAACCTGTTTTTCCCGCTCCTGTGACTTACAAGTTGCTGGCACAGCTAGCTAGCATAGTTGCAAGGCTGTTGGCTTTCAAGAGCTGGAAGAAGGTGATGGTGTTAGGGTGATTTAAAATGCCAGAGGCTCTCTGTTCTTATTTGATTCAACCATTTTTCCTGAATAAACACTCCTTTGATGGTTAAAAGCCCAAGTTCTGAAAAAGTAGCTTTTGACAATTTTTTCCAGTGTTCTCATTACTTTGTAGAGGAGTGGATTTTCAGAGGCCCTTCCCCTACCATTCTGGAAGTAGACCCCCCTTCTTCTGGATTTCTACTCTGGAGAGCTGGGCACATTGAGAATGGGACTCAAGTCAAGCACTTTCAAGCTTATATTCTTCTCAAGATGAATCTGAGTTGCCTACTTTCCACCCCTTACTTCCAGGAGTCCCATCCAGGTTGTATTTATTCCTCTGGATCTTCCTGCTTTACCATTCTGTCATTCCTGAGTCTATAGCATAAATGGTTTAACTGCCTAATATGAAGATCCTTCCCTGACCTCACTGGCCTTTGAGGATGATGGGGCCTTGGGAGGGTGAAGGACTAGCTCTTTTTGAGGGAGTCCTTATAAGTCTATGATCTCTAGACTTACTTGGCGTCTAAGAGTTACAGGAAATCCTTCTCTGCTAGTTCCCACTCCATGTCTGTTAAGCTGCTACTCCTGACCTCTGATGCTCTTTTACTCTGCACTATGCTCTGAGAGCCAGAAAAATAGACTCTAGTCTTGGATCTGATATCTGTTGGTTTCTTCTGTTAGACACATTATCATACTTCGCAGGAACTGATAGACAAATGGTGATAAAACAGCAATGTCACAAGACCGTTTGGACATCACAAATGATAATTTATTGGAAAGTACCTTCTGCAGTCTCTATCTCACTTGGCTAACTTATCTTAGGCTGTAGGAATCCACACTCTTCAATTTTCATTTTGCTTGAACTGTTTTTCTCCAACTGTTGCTCTTGAGTTCTCTCTAAAGATCCTTATCAGTGTTAAAAAAATATTTTTGTGATCAGTTTGAAGATACTTTTCAAAATTAATTTTAGTCTATTTTAGATTGTTTGGAGGACCACCTCATAATTACATACTCTAGGCAAAAGTTTTTTCCTCATGTTTATTTATTTTTTATTGTATTGTCATCAGTTAGCATTACCTTCATTGTGGAAAAAGAAGCAAAGTAGAATTTAACATGAAAATGATGCATGTATTTCAAATAGAAACTAAATGACATCACAAGTCATAATAAATTGAATAGAGGCATAAGTTGGAAGAACTGAATTATTAAATTACACAAAATTGATAAAAATAGAACACACACATGCACACAGACTTTGCCGAAGCAGCTATTACAATACTCACATTTCAAATAGCACTTTTGGTTTCAGCAAAATTATATCAACTGACATGTAAATCTGATGTTGATTCCTTGGAATATAATGGTTCTACAATTTTGTTTGTGATAACTTGGTGAATATTTTCAGGTTTTATACCAGGGTAAGAGCTATAAGCATAAGGTGATTATAATGAGTTTATATGTACACCTATATAAGTTATATTGTAATAAAATTATGCAGACAGCACTAGGGGTCCATGAAAATGTTTTATTTGCAGATGGAATGTATACATTGCTCAAGTATGAGAGGGACTGCTCTGCATACAGAAACCAGGCAAAGCTCTCAGGGAGCCTTCAGTTTATACGCAGGCTGAAGGCATGTCTTTAGGCCACAATGACAAAATAAAGAGACAAGAGAAACTTTCTCACGTAAGGGACAGAAAGTTGTACATCACCAAAAGGCACAGAAAAGTCTTGTGCAGAAACTAATTTAAAATAATGAAGAGAGTTTTCTTTACTGGAAAGGGAATAAGTAAACTATGAGAACGTTTTGGGATCCCATTTTTAAGAACGTAGGCCTGTGAGAAAGAAGGTCTGATTTAAAGTTCTGTTTCTACCCCATATCTTTCAAGATGTCCCATTGGCTGCAAAGCTTAATGTTCCTAAGTCTCAGTTTCTTCAACTTTAAAATGTCTCCTTCATAGATTTGTTATGTGGGTCAAATAATATTGTAGAAGTTGAAAGTACTTTGTCAGACACAAAATCCTGATGGTGATGCTACTCTGTTTCATTTTGTTAGATGTTAATAAAGGGTCCCTGGAAATTGTTCTAATTCTTTGCAGTTGAACATCTCAGCAAGAAGATAAAAAGCCCTAGAATGCTCAAGGTCAGTGAAACAAACAATTCCTGCATCTAATCTAGGCTGAGATCTCAGCAAATGCACAGTTGATGTATTCAACAACACCTTAGGGAGATGGGTTTAGACCAGATCTCTAACTGACAGAAAATTTCGACATTTTCAATAGATTTTGATTGTGTTAATCACAAAGTTTCTTCTATAGATAAAATGAAAAAAAAAATACCTCACCTTTCTCATATCTGTGCACACATATATTCCTACACAATTCACCCACAGAAACATCCAGGCCCGTCCATGTATTTGTGTTTCTGTAGAGACACACACGATAGTGTGCTTACACATGCGTGAACCACCTGCATACACATGCCCTACTCACTCTTGAATGGACCCAATTCCCATTGACCATAGTAGCCCATAGTCTATCATAGTTAGTTTCCAGCCTGCTTTATGAGGACAGGGCAAAAATGTCCTGGTCTTTCCTCTCACAGCATTTATCTCAACCAGGGATTCCCCAACATCTGATTCTTTAGATCATCCTTAGAAGGCATTTTGGGAGCCACAAAAACAGGTTTGAAAGTCAGTCATACTTAGATTTGAATTACGACCTTGGACAAGTGACAATCCTTTTGAGCCTCGTTTCATTGATTGTAACTTGGTGGTAGTGAACACTGCCTCATGGACACGAAGGCATTAGAGGCAATGATATGAGTTTCCTGTATGCTCTTCTGGTTCTATTTGAAGATGCTTTTCTTCAGAATGATACATATATGTGGATAGTAAGAACCACAGAAATTTTAGTTGAAGTCAGGCAGGAGACGTTCTCATCCAAAATGGCCCCAGCGTCCTTAAAGGGTGAAACTCATGCATCTCCTTAACGTTCATTTGTTACCAGCTTGGATCCCCTTCCTTTACATCTTCTCAGTTCTTACCTCTTTAGTATTAACTTTTCTTTGCTTGCTCAGATTTGCTACTTGCTTCTGATTTTCCATGGCCTTGTTGGACATGGATTTACCTCAAGGCATCCTCTCAGCTTCTGACTCCATCATAATAGCTATGGTCTCACCATGTTGCTCAGTTCCACATTTATAAGAGAAGAATTTGATGTCAAGACATTTTTTTCACACCAGGCCATACAAATTTAAGTTTGGAGTCCCGCAGACCTGAGATAAAAATCTAGCTCCAACTTTTATTAACTCTGTGACCTTAAGCAAGTTGTTAAACTTTCAGAATCTCAATTTTCCCATAGTCATATGGAGAAAATTATGGTTCTTACATCCATTGAATTGTTGTGAGGACTAAATCCAATAATTTATGGTAAATGCTTAGTATAGTACATGGTATATATTGAACAATAAAGAAATGCTATTCTTTAGTGTCAGTTCTGGTCATAGACCAGAGGTCAACCTGAGAATAGGCTGACTTTTTGCCAAGTTCCCACCCTTGGTGTATTAGTCACAGCCACTGGACAATAGAGGTCATAGGTTGTTCCCTTAGACAAGAGTGTCAGCAGGACAGGATTTCTGTAGCCACATCTACTCAAAAGATTATGGGATGCAGTTTCCTTTAATTCTATATAAAGTTAGAAAATAATGCAATAAAATCAAGCTGTGTATATATGACAGTAAAATAACTTTGGGGAAAAATCCATTAGTTTTCAGAAAGTTAAAACTTCTTCATCTTCACATATTCACTGCCAATATAATAAAAAGGGTCATCTGAGAAATCTTAAGAAGGAGATATTCTCAAGGTGTTTTGATGAATCCTCCAACCAAACCTGGGGACTGGGTAGGAGTGGGTGAGACTTCCTGGAGGTGATCCCATAAGCTTTGAAGAAAGACTATGAGTTACACAGGTTAGGAAGCATGAGCATGGGGACAGTGGTACTTTCCAGGGAGAAGATGCCATGTTCCTGTATTATACGCACCTGTATTACTGGCAGATGCACACCTACATGTTCAAAATGGGCATCCCCATCCCACAACCCCATTTTCCTCAAAAAAGTGAATGACACACTAGCGATTTTAGTTTCTCAATACATATATCTTCCCTAACAAGTAGTTTACGTTCAGAATGAGGGCAATCTGGGTGCATTAACAATTACTACTTCAAAGAGTTTACTAAAGGACTTGCCAAGTGTCCAACCCGTGGGTTGGACCAATCCTTACCTGTTATTCTATAGATTCTACAAAAGGAAACTTCCAGAAAAGTTCTTGATCTTGAGCAGTGGCCACAGGAACCCAGACTGCTTCAAATTGTCCTGAATTATTTCTGGGCTCTTCAGTGGAGAGTCAGACGAAGGCTCAGAAAACCCTCATTTCCACGATGTTCCCCTCACTCTTCCAGGCACCGAGGTCCCCTCTGGGACTGCTTCAGACCTGAGGATGCCAAGTCTGTGTAGTCCACGGCAGGTGGAGGAAGTCCTCCATGATCTGGGGTTTATGGTGTAACAAGGGTACCAGAGCAGCTGTGCTTGGCTCTCAGTAGGAACTTACTTGTCAAACAGGTATGCTTTTATTCTTTGAAAAAGTGAAAATTGAAAGATACAGAAGCAAAAAGAGAACAATTTAACAACCATCTGCATACCTGCTGTTTGCAATTAACAAGTATTAATACTTTATAATATTTGTTTCACAAATTGTCATTAATACAATAATTTCACTGTCAAGTTGAAGCTCACTGCTTCGTCCCATTCCAGACCACCCACTCCTTCCCAAGAGATAACTATTAGGATGAATTTGACGTATAACTTACCAACCAAATATTTGTACCTTGTATACATAAACCATACGCTGAAGTTTAAATTTTTTTTTACAAATATTATCATATAATATTCAGCTTTCTGTAATTAGCTTAGATTTCATTCAACATGATGTTTTTTTTTGAAGGTCTGTATTGGTCCACTTAAATCTAGTTCATTTGTTTAAATTGCTGAATTGTATTCCATGGATAGATGTATAAGTTGTGTTTTTAGATTTTACCTACAACATCTCTCTTACAAGTATCGAGGCATCACATTACAGAAACCTGTGTAGATTCAGATTTAGGAATAGATAGCCAACATGTGGCCCTAAGAAATCCATGGTTATCTCTAAATGAAGGCTATTTACTTATTATTTTTCCTTTCTGAGTTAAATTTACCATTCAATTTTTTCTTAGGATGAATCTTTATTTTACTCACAGTGTTGCATATTGACTTTTATAAGGCCATGGAACAACTTCCTTGATATTTTTATATATGTCTGAACCCCAGGGAATGTTATAGATGCAGATTTCCATAGTCTGTCCCTTCAATTTACCAAACATTTTCATATATGCCAAAAATCAGCAGTAGAGTTGAGCAGAATACCCAAATTCACCAATAATGCTTCAGACCTGCCACATTTTTCGTTATCCACTTAATTATTCTCTGTCTCCTACAGGAGTTTCCATGTACAAAATTGCTTTTCTCAAACACTCAATATCTCTTTCCTTTCTAGAAATGAGGATCACATGACTGATCATGTACTATTTTTGCCTTGGCCACTAGGAAACTCAGAACAAAATTTGTTGCTGAGATAGAATCGTGGCCTTTCCTTGGTGTTGAAGGTTTACTTCAGCTTCATTTAGCTATTTCACAACATATTCCAACATGAAACAACTTATGTGTAAAAAAATTTATGTGCACACATAATTTATGTGACCATGCAATTACTGTGCAAACTGGACACTTTTAAAAATGAAAGGCAACAAAAAAGTAGCTAATATTGTATACCTTTTTGAGTTATCATGCTTTACATAGAGTGATATGTAAATGAACTTTCTATAGCTCCATGAGACAAATATTCATATTCAGATGTAGTCTAATTTAAATGACTTCCAACTTTTGAGAAAGATACTGATGCTTTTTTTTTTTTTTCAGGGTTTGGGTCTTTGGTCTGTGACATCACTGTAACCCCTTCCTGACTCACAGTAAGCACTATATATGATTTTACCATTTTTTCCTATCCTAGGATATAGTTTTATTCCAGTAATGGACTGAAGGTAATAACAACAACAACGAAAAAAACCCGAACATCATCATCACCATCAACTAGGAAAACAATAACAAAGTGTCTTTAGTAATATTTTCAAAACTGGTCTTATAATATGAAGACCTCTTATCATTTATTCAAGGCTTAATATGTCAGACAAATTGCTAAATACTTTGCCTATATATCTTACACATTTTACTCTTCAACACAGGTCTCTGATATAGATACTATTCCCTAGTTACACAGAGGTAGAATCTTGGGCTGAGAAAGGAAAAGTGATTTTCCAGAGTCACATAGCATCTGCATGGCTGAATGGGAGTTTATCACCTGGTCATTTTCTTCCAGAGCCAGTGTTGGTAACTACTAAACTCTCTTATATCAGTAATGTAAACAATTTTTTCTAAACCAGTGATATTTCTTATCAGCATGACCATTGACTGAATCATTGAGTTGGGAAGGGAATTGTATTTTTTCAGCAATTATTAATTTAGGAATTGTAATTTGTAAAGAGGCTTGTTCAGGTCAGAGACATGATTAACAAAAATTTACCAGTTTTTATCTGCCAGTGATTACAAGTCCTCCTTGTGTGGAAGTTCCTCTCCTTTGTCAGGCCAAGAGGGGAAGGATATTTGGCTGTGTGTGGTGAAGACTCTCAGATGGCAGGGGTAGGAAAGGTGATTTTTTTCTGCTATGGGAGAAAACTTGTCTCAGCATACTGAGGCTGTTAGGTTCTTTAGGAGGTCAAGGCCATAGAGGGCTCAGCTCCTTCCAATGGTTAGGAGTCAGGTTTATATATACCAGGAAGACAGGGTCTGATCAAATGCATCTTCCTCTACTTTCTTCTCCCTGCTCCTTTCCCCACCCCACCCCCTAACCCCATCTCTTTCCTCCAGGATCACTCTAAGTTGTGTCACTCCCAAGAGAAGTTGCTAAGATGGCTTTTGTTCCAAGTGGCATAAGCTGTATTTCTCCCAGCATCAGGCAGCCCCTCACCCAAGACAAACTGTGCCGCCCATCATGTGCCCTTGGTACTTTTTGAATGATTCAGCTTCATAGGTTGAATTCAGCCCTGTCTGTGGTTCTCACAGGAACCTCGGTATTCAACAGCCTGTTTTGAACCATCCTTCTTCTGCCTGCCCTACTGTCTGTTCTCTGATTATCTCTTTGGTACATGTTCTTGGTCTTATAATATTTGGTATTCAAATTTTGTTCTTCTTAAAATGTTTAAATAGAAAAATATGATTGCTTTTACATTTAAAGTTTTTTTACTTTTTTTAAAATTAAATTTTGTTCTTATTTGTTCCATGATGTTTGCCTTTGTCTCTCTCTGTCCTGATTTTGGCTTGGCTCTTCTGGACAAGATTTACTTGAATAGACCTACTGGTAACATCCCCTCTATTTGGCAAGCTCAGAGCTGACCCCTCTTTGGATTCTGTTCTTGGAGGCATTTCTCTTTTGCTTATTTTCTAGGATGGTCCTAGGTAATCTAGATAATAAGAAGGGGTTGTCATAACGTGTAAAAACAGAACCTTCACAATTCAATTTACTATCAATAAGAATTTTAAAAAATGGACATCATTCACAGAGCTGAACAAAGAGCGAAACGTACAGTCAACAGGTTATCTAGATGACAAAGACTATCCTAGAATAATTCCTGGTTTGTTATAACCAAAAACTCATATATACATAACAAAATAATCAAGGCAAAGGAAAACAGTGAGAACCAATAAAATCTTTCAATTGTACAACAATTCTGCCTTCTATTTACCCTCCAAAGAGCCCATTGTTTTAGCATAGCTTTTGTTCAGAGTTGTTTTTCATTTGGCAGTCCTGCATGCAAAAACAGTAATGGACACACATACATTTTTTTAATGACATAATTGTTTTTTCTCCAGAGAAATGGCTCCTTTGATGTCCAGGGAGAAAGGAGGCAAATGTTCCTTTGAACTAGTTTGTTTGTTCAGCAGACTATTGTGCTAGTTATACTGCATGCATGGAATTCTGGAGGGAGCACGAGGTAACACATGAGAGCCTGGGTGCTGGAGTCAGCCTCCTGGGTTTGAAGTCTGGCTGTGCAACGTTCCAGCTGCATGTTTCCTAAGCTACTACAGCAACGTTCTCCTCACCATCGCCCTTTATAAAATACTAGGAACTACCTCAGAGGGTTTTATGAAGATGGGATGCAATTCTTCAGATCGAGAGCTTAGAATAGTGCTGCAAAACAGCAGTTCTCAATCTATTTTAGTCATTCTTAGTTTGTAAGAAAGCGAACAACTTTTATAAAGTGTGACAGGAAGATCACTGGCTCCAGAGTCACACAATCCTGTGCCATTAGGTAGCTGTGCGATTCCTGTCCAGTCAGTCCTTGGAATGTTAGTTCCTCCATCTCTAAAATGTGGATAATCATACATAGTCCTAAAGGTTCTTCAAAGAGTTCATGTATGTAAAGCTTCAGGCACAAGACAGATGTCCAATAACTCTCAGTTCCTCTTCACTGGAAAAGCAGTGGAACAAATGGAAGAGGGAGAAAATGGGGGCATGAATAGGAAATGCTTTTATAGGTTGCTCTGCTCATTATGGATCAGTGGAGGAGTGGCTGGGAGCCAACTCGCAATGTAGGACTTCCTTCTTTGCTTGACGATGCTCTTCTTTCTCTGCCGTACCTCTGGATGTCCCTAAGCCAACCACTCTCCTGGGAGTGAGACAGGGAATAAGAACCAGTGGGTCTTCTTTCCTAATCTTCAGGACCCTCAGAACTCTGCCCATACAACCCCCAAGGGTTGGGGGTTGGTATCCTTGCACGAGTGTGTGTGTGTTTGCTTCTTTGCTCGTGGGTATGTCCCTGTGAGATGGTGTCCACCATCAAGGTTACCATCTCACCCTCTACAGTCAGACAGATCTGGATTGAAGTTCCTGCCTGGACACCTTGATGTGTGACCTAGAGGAAGTTACTTAACTGCAACTAAAAACTAGAAATGACGGTAGCACCCTTCACAGAGGATTAAGGTGAGAGACAAACTGAGACAAAGGACTGAAAATCATAATGGTTGGTGTGCAGTACATGCTAGAGCAAAGCTGACTACATTGATTATGACAATCATCATTAATCTCTCTGTCGATGAGCAGATACAGGGCTGTGGCTGTGAGGCTCACATGGTGGTGTGGGAAGAAATCACATGGGTGCCTTCCTCTCTTTTTCTAAGAAACCAGGAAGAGGATTTGCAAGCCCTTCTTTCCTTACCCTGTATGAAGGCATCCTAGGGCTTTACCCACACTGAGTGATTGCATTAGCACAGAGCCGTTCTCCTGGGCATTAGCCATGAGCTCACACTAACATACCAGGCAGTGGGATGTCATGGACAGAGTAAGAAAGACCTGATCCCATTCCCAGCTTATCCCTTACTATCTGTGGAACTTTGGACCAATTACTCTCTCTCTGTGAATCCCCGTTTCCTTATCTGCAGAATAGATGATAATATTTATCTGTGAAGCTTAATCATAGATAAATATGATTGCATTTCTAGAACCAAAGACAGAGACCAGTGTTCATTTCAATCATATAACAAATATGTATTATGTTCCTACTCTGTGCCAGGCATTGCACTAGGCTCTTTGGGTGACAACAGGGAAGTTGTCCCCTACTCTCTTGGAATTTGGAATTACTGGAATCTAATAAATGTGTTCAGAGAATATGAAAATTTTCCCTTCTCCTTTCATCACTTTGTATGGGAATGCTTTATAATTTTGGTGACTTTGGCCTCTTAGTTTCTGTACTCTGCCCCACAGGTGAATTTCAAGTTCAGTGTGCCTTAGGCAAGTCAATTATTTTAAAGCCAGGAAGTTGACAAAGGTAGTTTCGAGCTTGAGGGAGTTCGAAGGTGGGAGGGAGCACAGAGAGCATTGCAGAGGGTTCTTTTAAGGGAAGACTTGGGGAGCTGCCATATTCCTAATAAGAATGAATTTGCCTTTATTTAAAGAAGGAAATGACACTTTCCCACACAAAGGAGAAAGGAAAGGCTGTCTCCTCTGGCTTTGGTTACCAGTTCTGCCTCTCTGGCTGGGGGATTGCTACAGTGAGGAACGAAAGTGACAAATGCGGGCCTAGCCTTAGATAACTTCCCAGAGAAGTGAAAACAGAAGATAGAAAAGTGCCTGCTATTGGAAGGAATGAACTAGAACGCAAAAAAGGGCATTGCACCATAGCATTGCACATGCCGCGTGCGGTATTGGTCTGAAGGTTAGAGACAGGAGCTGTACTAGTACTGCTTATACTTATATCCTGGACACCGCAGAGATGGCTGGAGTTCAGTACCTCTCTCTCTGCCCCTCTGTGTTTCCCAGCATCCCCTGCAGTTAGATTGGGGTGCATGCGACTGAGCTCTGGTCAATGGGGTTTGAACAGAGCAACTAATTCGATTCCTTGAGCACCTTCTCAGGTGCCAGCTCCTTTTCTCTGTTTTGGGAATTCAGCAGGAAACACAACCAACAGACATTTCTGCCCTCATGTTGCTTATATATTCTGGGAGGGTGGAACAGACAATGGACGTGGGGAATAAGTAAAATGTATAGCAAAATACATGAAAAAATAAAATATATAAAATGCATTCATATATAATTTATAAAATATACATAAAAATAGAAATGTTTACATATAATTTCCTAAATAAAAATAAAACTGTACATATGTGTATATATATATATATATATATATATATCTGATATATATGTGTGTGTGGTGTGTGTGCATATATGTTACAAAATATAGAGACAGAGATAACTGCTAAGCCAAAAATAAATTAGGTAAGGAGGATCAGAAGTACCAGGAGAAAAACTGTAATGAGGGTGTCCATTGGGCTTCCCTGGTGGCACAGTGGTTGGGAGTCCACCTGCCGATGCAGGGGACACAGGTTCGTGCCCCGGTCCGGGAAGATCCCACATACCGCGGAGCGGCTGGGCCCGTGAGTCATGGCTGCTGAGCCTGCGCGTCTGGAGCCTGTGCTCCGCAACGGGAGAGGCCACAACAGTGAGAGGCCTGCGTACCGCAAAAAAAAAAACAGAAGAAAAAGAGGGTGTCCATAGAGGCCTCATAGAGAAAGTGAAATCTGAGGAAAGAGCTGAAGGAAGAGCATGCAGATATCTCAGGAAGGAACATTCCATGGTTTTCATGGACTGCAAGGAGGCCAGTGGCTGGAGTAGAGGGTATAATATAACAAAAGAAGAGACCAGAGAGGGGACAGAAGTTTGTGTCGTCTGTGGTCTACAAGGCCACTTTAAGGCTGTTGGCTTGTAGTTTGAGGGAAACAGGGAAACCAGCACAGGAGGAGTCAGATGTGACATATTTCATATAACCTGAGAATCACTCGAGTTGCTGTTCTGAGGATACACTGAAAGAGATGTGGGGAGCAGTGGCAGGGACAGAAGCAGAAAGACCAGTGTGGAGGCTTTTCCAATGTTTCAGTTAAGAGATAAGGCTGACTTGGGCCAGGAGGTGAGAGTGGAAGTGGGAGACATGATCGGATTTGGATATATTTAAAGGTAAAGCCAACAGGATTTGCTGATGAACAAAATCTGGGGAGTGAGAACAAGAGAGGATCAAGAGTGACTCCAAAGGTTTTGCCTGAGCGGCGGAAGAATGGAGTTGCTATCAGTGAGATGGGGAAGGTTACTGGAGGAGTTGGCTTGGAGGGATATCAAGAGCTCAAGTTCAAGATGTCCAGTAGATCAAAGTTTGGGGAGGAGGTCCAGGTGGAAGATGCATACTTGGTAGTCATCAGTGATAGAAGTCATCAAATATTTCACATAGTACTTGAAGCCGTAAGACTGAATGGGATGACTTTTCTTTTTGTTTCTTTTTATTTTTTTAAATGGAGTTTAATTTATATGTTGTGTTAATTACTGATGTATAGCAAAATGATTTACTTATATATACATATATACATGTATTTGTATGTGTGTATATATATATATATATATATACACACACACACATTCTTTTCTATATGTTATTTTCCATCATGGTTTATCATAGGATATTGAATATGGTTCTCTGTGCTATACAGTAGGACCTAATTGTTTATCCATTCTGTATATAAAAGTTTATATTTGCTGACCCCAACCTCCCACTCCATCCCTCTCCCAGCCCCCTCCCCCTTGTCAACCACCAGTCTGTTCTCTATGTCCATGATTCTGTTTCATAGATATGTTCATTTGTGTCATATTTTAGATTCCACATATAAGTGATATCATATGGT